CACGAGATTCGAATCCCGACCAGAGGGACTTATGCCAGAGGCCACACCAATGAGCTTAGACGCGGATCATTAGATCGTAGATATATAAATATATAAGAACCAGATGGAATGCATGTAAATGCCCATCAAATATTAAAATACAAATTTAAATTAGATAATTATTAAAAATATTTAAAATTATGTCACAAAATTTTGGCGCTAAAATGTTTTCTTTTATACGCTCATGTATAATGTATTTCGCCATCTGCTCCTCTGTCTGTGCACAATCCGTACCACCTGTCACTGCCTTTTACCTTCAATGGAATCCGATTTCCCTAAATCTTCGCTCTTCTCCTCTGATCAGCGTCTCTGCTCCGCTCAAGTTCTCGATCCTTCCCAGGTTTATCTGTGTGTGTGTGTATTTGTCGCTCTATCTTCTTCTCTCCTAACTCATGGATGTTTAAAACTCGTCAAGGTTCGGGCAAGAATCGAGGTGGCCGTGCTCAAGTTTCTGAATGCGCTGTCTTCTCCTACGCCGGCAATCTCCTTTCTTCCACTGGTATCTCTTTCTTTCTCTCTATCCCTTTCCCGATTCTCTCTCAATTGTATGGTTATGGAAATCTTCATTCACAAACTGCTCTCCCAAATATGAGACGCCGATCAAACCAACCTTCACTTTACTTGGTTTCAGAGGGCCCTTTAGCTATTAGTTCGAGTTCAATTACACAATCGGCGCTAATTTTTTTGGTGCTAACCCAAGGTTCTTTTTCCCCGAAGATCTAAGAATTAATTTGAGTTCGATCACACAATCGACGCCGATTTCTCCGGTGCTTAGTTTTTTTTTTTCCTCGAGATTTATCTCTTTCAATTTAACGCATAAAACTTTTATTCCACTTCTGACAACTCGGTAATCTTTGATCTGCTCAAGCTACCATGGTGATCTGCTCATTGCCTCTTCAAAGTTTGATGTTCATTTCTGCATTTTTTCATTTGTAGATTTGCAGGAAATCAAGTAACAGTGGTCTTCGCTGCGGGTTGCTGAGCGATGTTTCATCCATCTTCCTTTCTCCTTCTTTCTGCAGGAGGACATTCTTGCGAGCCGGCGATACTAAGGCCTTCATTAGAGGTACAGTTTGTTTTCTCTCAATTCGTTCAAAGAACAAATGCTGGGTTTGGTGGCCAATGAGCTTATTATTTTCAGTGTGGAAGGTCATGGAGATGTGTTTTCAGATCCTGAGTCAGGGAAAGTTGGTCACCCAGAGGGAGCTTTTTTATAAGCTGCTCTGTGATTCTCCGAATTATTTTTCTTCCCAGCGAGAAGTTAACAGAGCCGTTCAAGGTTTGCCACTTCTGCGCCTCCATTCCTTTGGTGTATATTAGATGCTTTTTTTTTTAAATACTTTTTGAACCCCAGTTTTATTAGGGTTGGATAGAAAAGTTTAACATAAGTGGCGCAACTTAAATTAGTATGGACCCTAATCATTTTTCGTGAGCATGCACACACACCTATATTCAGTTTCTTTTGTCAGACATTTTGACCAAAATTATAATAGGCATGGATTAGAAATATATATAGACACGAACACCCAAGCACGCGCACTCACACATAAAAAAAGGTCGAAATAGGCATCGAACTTGTTACAGTGGGCTATTTAGTTCTAGAATCTACATAAACGTCAACTTAGTTCTAGACTCTTTTGATATAGGCTCAAATAGTTTCCACGAGGGCTATTTCAACTCTAATTTAAATAATTCATAGGCTAAATTGACTCTTTTATAAATTTGGGACAAAAATGACCCTTTGTTGTGTGTGTATGTGCTATGTTTTGAGAGCTACCACTCTCCAGTAATGACTTTGTTTTCTTGCATGTGGCTTTTTTCCCTTTAAAGATTTCCAAATAAATCTTGTTGTCTCTTGATTTCTATGAGTGGTTTATCTCTGCATTCTTATTTTTCTACCTTTATTGCCATGATTTTAGTTCTTCACATGCAGATGTTGTTGCTTTGCTTCGTTGCACGCGGAACAGTCTTGGAATCATGGCTTCCAGTAGAGGGACAATCACTGGGCGTTTGCAAATAAAGGTGATTTTATCTGAATATTGACAAAATGAGTTTGTCTGCCAAGTTATTATTGTATATTTTAAATGAATATCATTGTTCTAATAATTCAAATTATGTTCTTCATGGTGCTAAAAGGGGGCAATTACATACATAACACTCCAAAAATTACTATTTACAAATCTAGTGCCCATTGCTGTGGGCATCCACTGTTGGGCACAGAATCAAGTTGAGCGCAAAATCGTGTTGGGTACAGAATGGCGCTAGGCGCGAACTAGAAGCAGGAACAACAACAAAGTTTCGACAGGTTCAGAAGGGAAGCCCTGTGGGCCGACCGACCCTTCCTCTGTGTGGGACTGTTGCCCAACTGGAGTGTGGCCTAGTCCTAAGTTATCCTAGGTCTATATAGGTTGTTGTTGTGGTGTTTGAAGTTAGTTTTTTTATGAGTTTGTTTGGGACAATCGTCAGCGTCTTAGGTTTTCCCTTCTAGGGCTTCATCAAACTGTCAAGCAATGCTTTGACTATATTACACTCCCGAAGTGGTGTTATCCTTTTTTTTGCCACTCCTCATCCTTCCGACTCAGCTCCCAACTGCCCCTTCCTTGCTGCTGCCGCCTAAAAAAATTCCTATCTGCTGTCTACCTGCAGTCTAGTCGTACTAGCCACCTCCCTCCCTTACCTACTCACTGTCACACTCAGAAAACTGCTGTCATACCTCGTCCCTGCATCCCGGAACAGCCACCCATTGGTGTTCCTGCCTTCCCAGCTAGTCCTCCTTGCTACCGCCAAACCCAAACCCCAAACCACCAGCTCCTTTGTTGTCATTGCTCCGGCTGCCCTCCCTCATCGATTCTTGCTGCTTGTTTGCTAACCAAAACCTGGGAAACAATCGCCTTGCTGTTCTTGCTTGCCTATCTCCCCTTGCCACCACCTAATCGCCTTCCAAACCTTCACCGACCACCTCCACCACCCCTTTGATCCAACTTTAGTGGGAGTTAGTGCCGTGTTTGTTGTAATTTCAATTTTCTATTTTGTGTGGCTGTAATTTACTATTTGATTTTCATACTAATATTTTTTTTCCCATTATTTTTAGTTAACTCCGGCATCATTTGGTATTATAGTTAGTCTAACTCTAGTCCTATTTTAAGGTTGCTAAAATTAAACCCTAAACAAATTTCTTTCCCCCATTGTTTTCCACTCAAATCACCCCTATACACCCTTCTACTCCTCCAAACATAAACCCTAATCATGCCACCGAGGAGATAATTGTAGGAAACCTAAACATGAGGAAAAGACATAATGCTGCTTATAAGAAATCCGCAAAGATATGTACCCAAAATTTCTACGGGAAAAATAAAATAGGAATACTCTAATTGCAACATAAGTTTGTCGGTTTCAAGAGGAAACAATCCAGAAGTGGCACATGTAGATACAACGATGATTCATCAAATCAAAATGATGAGGAGCCACTACTCTAAAGATTTATTAGGGAATATCAAAGAAACCAATATCTTGGAGTAAATATGGATTTATCAGATTTTGACGGTCAAAGGAGTCTGAAAGAATTCATCTAATGGCTCTAGGAACTGGAACTTGTCTTTAGGTACCAAGATGACCACCTGACAAAATGGTAAAGCTATTTTAAAGAAGGATGCATTTTTGTGGTGGGAGAATCTGAAACTTCTTTGATAGCAAAAAGGAAAATACAAAATCATTTTCTGATCTAAGTTGAAAAGGGAGATGCAAGGCAAGTATCTATCTGCATATTATAGGTAGAATATGTTTTTGGTATTTCACTGGTTACAACAACATCACCAAGTGACCGCCTCATCTTATATTCAAAGTTCAACCCCAGGAACAAACATCAAGAGTACACCCAGTGGGACATCCAAGCCAGCTTAGTCAGAGGAGAAACACGTAGAGTAGAGAAAAAGTTGAGACCACCAGTACTATCAAATTTAACCACGTCAGTAAATGCTTCAAGTGTCACAATTTTTTCCATGTAGCGTCTGATTGCCCAAATAAGAAAGTGGTATCTTTCAAAAAGCTGGGAGCAGTTGAAGAAAAGGACAGTAATACAAGAGAGGATGAAACCTTCAGAGATGAGTCTCAACTTTCGGTCGACGAGGAAGAGACACTAGAGATTCAAGCTGAGCTCATAAGAGATATACCACCAGGATTCACATTAGTTATTATAAAAGATAATGAATCCGAAGT